AACCAGTCCTGCTCACAAAGCTTTGTCTGCTTAGTGTGTTATTTGTTACTCTCCAAATACGAGACTGGAACTGATGCACTGATACACAAGGAGCTACCAGCCAGGCAGCCCTCTGCTATGCCAGCCTTGAGATAGGCTGGGAAAGCATCCTGCCAGGAAGACTTTCACTCTGATTTTTGTAAAGTGGAACAATGCCTGAAATGCCTTTGAGGGAATCAACAGGGAAAATGAAGGCACTAAATGAAGTATTTCAGTAAATAGTGCTTTGCCCCGTGAGTCATAGATGAAGCGTTGTAGTAAAGCTGCCAAAATTCAGATGAGTAAAAGCCAGGTCTTGACTGTTAGTCTATCTACTCACAAGAATAGGAAGCAGTAGTGTTTAGTGTTCTAGCTGTATTTCAGTGTCAGTAATTCCTGTGATTTCTCGTTATTCTTTCTGTGGTTTTAATTGAAGACACCTGACCTCATTTACCCTCCAAAAAAAAAGTTGTATAAAGTCAGTGATGCAGCGATGTCATTTTGCACCCTGATTCAATTGAATTTGAAGGTGAATTGATGTCTGTGTCTTACCTATTTGCCCTAGAATTCTTTGTGGGGAAAAAAGTGCTAATGTAAGGAGATGTTCCTCATTAAGGGTCTAAGTCTTTCTGCTTGTTAGATTTTTTGCCGAGTCTGTCTTTTTATGTTTCAATTTGTTTCCTGTGGCACAGAGGAGAGTCTTATAACCTCTTTGAACATAACTGCAACACCTTTAGTAATGAAGTGGCACAGTTCCTGACAGGAAGAAAAATCCCTTCCTACATCACTGACCTTCCAGCTGAAGTTCTTGCCACGTGAGTATGCATGTCGCTCCTCTGTAGTGTATTGGTTCATGCTAATACTTAAACATTTGACAGAGCCAGTGGTACCAGTTTCTGCTGGCTCTCTCTGAGAACCAGCATAAGATTAAGGAGAGGATGCTATTTGCTTTACTTCAACACTTGCAACACTGTATGACAAGTGCTGACTGGCACTGGCATTACTAAGAAGACAGGAGAAGATTTTTTTCTTATATGTGACCAGACAAGCATAGAAAGTTTCAGAAAATGGTGCAGGTTTTTTTGTCTTAGGATACCAGTATCTGTTAAAGATACCAGTTAAAGATCACTTCTCTTGCTCTGAGCACTGTAATTGCAGTGGAGATGTCAGCTTTGCTTGTGAGGAGACTGGGGAGATGTAATTTTAAAATTAACGCTGCGCTTTTAAAGCTAGGACTGGATGGAAAAAGAGGATATGAAAAAGAAGAAATTAAGAATTCCTGACAGTTCAGCTCACTTTTTTTTTTGTGTGTGTGAGGATCCCAGTGGGATGATTTGAGCTCATCATTTAGGTCTTATTTTTGTAACAATGGCATGCCATATTATTTGGGAGATGCATGTTTTCTACCCTGGGCTCTTATTACTTCAGATAGATCAAAATCAGATAAAGTCCATAACAGAGTGAGTCATATTGAAAGATAAACCAGGTGCTACAGATTGCAACAGAAATTATTCTGTGAATGTTGAACCATTGTCTTATAAGGGAGCTGGAGGCTATTATTCTAGCTGTCTTTAATATTGATGTGGTGCTTAATGGAGCACTGCAGTTGCATAACAGGGATTTCATTCGCACACTTAAGTAGGATGAATTACTAAAAGCCAGTTTCAGACACAGTATTACCACATTAGCAGTCTGGGCATGTTAGGACTCAGAACTAGCTTATATAAAATAATGTTTAAGGTTCTTAGTTATTGAACAGTAAACTCTCTTTAATGGGTTAAATTAGTTTGCTTTAGTTTGTAGTGGAAATCTCTTCTTCAAATTTGCTTTTACAGTGTTGGTTTGATTGCATTCTAGGAAGTGAGTGCACTTCAGTAGTAAATGGGAGAAGTTGTTCATCAAGTCAGCTATTTGAGATGTTTATTTCTTTACCTTCTCAGACCTTTTGGACAAGCTTTAAGGCCTCTTCTGGACTCCATCCAGATCCAGCCACCTGGAGGAAATACCTTCAGCAGACACAATGGACAGAGCTAACAGGAGTAAACCAGTGTGCCCAGCCTCACCAGGCCTCTTCCTTTTTAAACATGAATCTACCAGATTTCTATTTTATAATTTCTCATCAGACTTAACTCTACAGAAGTTACAAGTTTTAAATTTTCCTAAGGAGAGGATTTATCAGGGTGCATGTAAGACAATGCTACCAAAAAGATTGCCATAATTTCTAATAGTATTATACTAATTTATAAAGGCTGTCTTGACTGAGTAGGCTGACACTTTCAAAGTAACTCCTGTGCTGGTAAGTGGGAATTCATTCCATGAGTGTTCAAGGGCCCACTACACTATTTGGAGTAAACAAGGTGATGTCCTAGCCATCCCTTGCAGGCTTGCATCTCTTTCTGCTGTCACTGCCTATATTATGGGAGTATTTGCTGAAGTCTGTAGCAAAAAGACAAAGGAAGCATTGGTAGCCTAGGAAGTGAAGGTGTCCCAGGATTAAGTCTTATGCATATTTAATTGACATGATGTTATTTGCTCAGGGGAAAAGCTGAACTCATCTGATTTGAATGTTTGCAGTGGCACAGCTTTTTGGGAAAGGTGATCAAACTGAACTGTGTGTCAGTGTCGTGCTCAAAAGTTGAAACTTTTGATGGGACTAGCTGTGTGCTGGAGGGTGCCTGGAACTGAGGGTTACCAAGAGCTTCATAATGCTAGATCCAAGAGTTATGGGAAAGAACAGAATCTTAGGAGCAGAAGTGGGGGAAACAAATTTCAGGTGAAAGTAAAATGAAGGTAAATGTTTCTTTTTCTTGCATGTAAGCTTATCAGCAGATAGGCAGAACCTTGTTAACTATTTACATTTGTGTAAGAGCTGATTTTTTGGGTTTTTTCTTACCAAGCCAATTTACAGTACAGTAAGGCAGGAATAGCATGACAACTGCATGATAATATAAGGTGGACCAATTCTGCCTTCAGTATCTAGTTGCAGACACAGTAGGAGTTCCAAATGTCTTTGATACTACTGTCCTTTCCAAAGCAGTCAAGCACATAACAGAGAGGGCTCTGCATAAGTGTAAGAGAAATAGGTGGTAGGTCTCCTCAAATGTAAAGAAAAGGAGGAAGAATAAAATTGAGCTTTTCTATGGAACAATTGAGTTGATTAGGATACATGCAGAAGCGGTCCTGTCCTTAGATTGACTTTAGATTGGATCAATACTGCATCTTCTAGTTTAAGATTCTTATAGCTTTGCAATTATCTGCAGTGGAAAAGATCAGGGGAATGAAAGAATAGGCACACTGATTTCTTTTCATGCATGGATATACAGCATTTTCCAGAACAATTTTGTAGCAGTTACATTTAGGAAGGAACACAAGAAAGACATCAGACAAAACCCAAAACATTGCTGATGCTCCACAAATGGGAATTGCACGTCCCAGATGCTGCTGAAAAAGCATCTATGCAAATTTATAGCCCTTTGTCCAGTGCTTTGTTGTGAAAAGTATTGCTGCAAGTTCAGTCCTACATCTCAAACTTCCTGCACTGGCAACTTCCTACATACCTAGAGGAAATGTCTTTCCTCTGCTGGGCTCTTTCTCCCAGAATAATACAGTGTCGTAAGTTTCTCATGCTGTTACTCAGTGTGAGCTATAATGGTTCATATTTTTGAGTGGGTGGAATGGAAGAAAACTGCAGTTTAGTCACTCTGTCAAATATGCTGTTGCCCTGCACCTTGTGGACTCACTACACAAGTGGAAATAGGGTACTGTCAGTCCATTTTGCAGTTTGTGTGTCCTTGCTCTCAGTGCACAGCAGTGGCCTTTGCAGCCCAGATTTTATTTTCTTTGTCATTCTCTGCTTGTGCCATCAACTTCTCTTTAAGCATTTCATTTGATGGGCTAGACTTGGAGACAACTGTAGCAGTACAGATCAATTTATACAAAAGCTTTCAGTCTTTCCCCATCAAAATGTCCTGTGTGCAGAAAGCATTCTATAAGAAATCATTTATGAATGCCTTTTGGTGCTCCTGGAGGAAGAGTTGGTAAGTGTTTGTTTTCTGCTAAGCTGTAGCTTAGTTTTCCTGTTCAGTATGTATATCCTCTCCAGTCTTTTTTCCATACCTATTCAGTGAAGATACATGCAGATACATGAAGATACATACATACATATCAGTCTCTCATCTTAATACACACATGACTGTGCCACAAAATGCTGTAGCGTGTCAGAGATCTTGGAGCTTCCTCAGTTAAACAGGTATGCTCAAGCTGATACCATGCAGCCCAACATCTAGGTATGCTGGTTTGGTACCTGCAGCTAGCACAGCTGTGGTTGTTTGTCCTTCAGCAAACTATCACTTCAGGCACAGCTGCCAGTGGTGGAAGCACTGGTGCCACAGTTACTGCCCCACACTCTTGCACAATAAGGATATCCCTGGTATGTCCACCACTTCAGAGGTCCTGAGCCTGGTTTCTGCTTGGCTGCCTACTTTGGGACTTTTTACATCCTCTCAGGAGGCAGGAAAGAAAAGGAAGATGTTCAATCCATGCATTTTGCAATCTGCCTTTTCCCCTCCTGAGCAGCGCCTTTGCAGAGATAATGCTGCTACTTTAAGGTCACTGAGTAAAATTTAACTCGTCCATATGCTGTTTGCAGTAGCCAAGGAGCTTTTGGAGGGTCTCCTGGGCTCAGAACCTGCTCTGTGTTTCATGGCAAAAGAGCTGCAGCGGGGAATCCTGTTTGCTTGGTCTTACTGGATAACGAGACCCCTGTACCCTGTAGGCCTCTTAGAAAACCTGTTTTCTCCAAAGGTGGTTGCAGGAGTGTGCCCCCAATGTTCCACCCAGCCATACCTACTCATAGGAATATAAACTAGACTGAGAAGTGTATGTTGGTGTTTATAGGTGACGAACTTCAGCCAGCTGATTGACAAAGGGGCAGGGAAGCTGAACTCCTGAAAGGGAGCAGGACCCTTTTGCCACACTTACTATTCTGTCTTGTATTGCTGGGGTTCCCCTGTGCCATTTTAAAAATGTTAATAATGTCTTTAGGCACAAAGTGATGTTTTGATTTATTTGTGGGTTGTTTTTTTTTTCTATTACAATAAAAAAAATACAGCAAGTTTTCCTGTTTGAATACATGTGTCCGCACAGCTGCCCAGAAGTCGTCTTCACTCTGGTCCAGATGGGAAGTGCAAGATGAGAACTGTTGTAGCAGTTTGTGCCAGGTACTGCTGCTGGAAATAGCAGTGGTGCTGCCCTTTGCTAAAGCTGGTCACCGGCAATATTCTTACGTTTCGGAAAATTTTCCTTCTGTAAGCACTGTGGTATCTTATCATGACCACAGTCCTGAGGCTTGACACAGCTTGGATGAGGTGAATGAAGGCTGGACAGTAGGTATTCTGTCAGCAGGGGTTTTGTGTAGCCCTTGCTTGTCTTAAGTATGCAAGAATGAAATGTGTAATGTCTGCTGTTGGAGAAGAGGCCCAACAGAGCTTAGACGTAGGAAAAGGATCTAAGCTTTTCTTGATTGTCTTGATGGTACTACTTTCAAAAGGAAAAAAGCAGCTTTGAAAAGTAGACTTCATGCCCGAGTTCCTCTGGAGCTTCAGAGAGGTGATATTGGTGAGGATTATAGGCTGTTAAGGAGCTGTAGAAGACATGAATTCTGTTTGGTTCAGCCTTCTGAATGCTTATTCATGGCATCCATATGATAAACCACACAGTTCACTGTTTGTGTAACAGTCTGTATTAATGTAATGCAGAAGGGTTTAACTTTAACAAAGATTCATGATTGTGGTTATTTTGGGCTGTCTTATTCAGATGTGATGCTAGTTTGCTATTAAGTACAAGTGCTAGCCCCACATGAAATACCTGGCAATATGTATAAAAGGAAAACCTTTAGCTTAGTGGCAGCCCTAGCAAGAGTATAAGCCAGTGCTTATAGCCACTTACCTTCTAAGCTTCAAACTATTTGCCCTTGCTGCCAGTAACAGATTTTATTCATTATGACAGCTGCTGCCTATCCGAGCAGCAATCAAGAGAATGTATCAAGAGTGGTTTAAATGCAAAGTATTAAATAATCAAACCAGCTGCAGTGGCCCTGTTCTCAGAGCTAACCCAGATGAAGAAACAAATATAGCCATACACAGACTGCTACTCTCAGGAAAACCAAGATGGCACAAGTCTTCACAGGCTGGTACTTACTAATTGGCAGCTGGGGAGCTGGGAAAGGTGTTTCTATTACAAAGCTTCTAAAGCAGCTTGACAAGGAAGCTGGAGAAAGCACAGCAGGTAGTTCAAGTTTTGGAAAGCTCTGCTGGTAGCATAAACCTGATGGCACTATAGGAGTGCAAAACTGAATGCTGACCTGTATTTTAGCAGACTTCCCAGTTCTGGGAAGTGCCCCGAGGTGGCACTGCTGCCTTGCAGCACAGGGATGCACCTGAGCCTGGGGAGAGCAGCTCCTTCTTTTGGGATGTGCAGAGTAATGTCGATGCAAGAGGCAAGGAGGAAGGTCTCTCCCAGACCAGAAAGCTGCAGGTCAGAGCAGCTGGGAGACCTGCCCCTGTACTCAGCTCTCATAAGGCCCCACCTGGAGTACTGTGTCCAGTTCTGGAGCCCCCAAGACAAGAAAGACATGGACCAGTTAGAACGAGTCCAGAGGAGGCCACCAGGATGATCTGAGGGCTGGAGCACCTCTCCTATGAGGACAGGCTGAGAGAGTTGGGGCTGTTCAGCCTGGAGAAGAGAAGGCTCCTGGGAGACCTTACAGCGGCCTTCCAGTACCTGAAGGGGCCTACAAGAAAGCTGGGGAGGGACTTTTCATAAGGGCAGTTAATGACAGAACAAGGGGAAATGGCTCTAAACTGGAAGAGGGTAGGTTTAGATTAGATATTGGGAGTAATTTATTTACTCTGAGGGGGTTCAGACACTGGAACAGGTTCCCCAAGGAAGTTGTGGATGCCCCCTCCCTGGATGTGTTCAAGGCCAGGTTGGATGAGGCTTTGGGCAACCTGGTCTAGTGGAAGGTGTCCCTGCTGATTGCAGGGGGGTTGGAACTAGGTGATCTTTAAGGTCCCTTCCAACCCAAACCATTCTATGAGCAGCTTTGGGCCATAGCAAGAGCTGAGTGCCACTACAATGCCAGGGCTGCCGCAGGAGTGAGCGGGCAGGTTTTCCTGACACCACACCTCTTCCACCCAGATGTGGGAAGTTTCATCCTCGTGCCATGTCGTGGCTTATGAAAAATAAAGGCTGGCATT